ATCATAAAAAAATAATTCAGGCTCAAATGGGGACAACAAGGGATATATTTTTTTTCTTTTTCTTTTTTGAAATGATAAATGAAACAAAGCCTTTCATCATCTTATACACAGAAGTCCTTGTAAAAGAGGTATCCCAGGGGGATGAGTATTCATGATTAACTTCTATTCACATAAAAACAATGTAATTAATGCATTATAAAATTATTTCAATGATTCCCTTTATTTCTACTTCACGTTGCTCCTAGTATGCCCCAATTATTCAAATTCTCTTGCAAAAACTTGATCTGTAACACTCCATCTTGTCTTTCTTGCAGGAATGGTTCTTGTACACATGACCATCTTGTATTTTATGCCTCCAAGCTTTATTGAGGTTAGAGATAAACATAGGTTATTTCTAGGAAGAGAAATGTATGACTTTAAAGTTATAATTCTAAAAAAGGTAATGTTATGGAAATTTTAGCACTGTCTGAAAAGGTAAAAGTACGAATTTTGGTGCCTCGGGGGGGATAAGGGCATGACTTTATTATTTTAGAGGGAGGTGATGTCGAGGTTCGATTTTTTTGGTAATGAACACATTCCATGTAAGGAAATGAGTTAGGGTATTAGGCTTTGGAGGGAACACGAAAGGAATAATCTTGCCACTTTTCAAATATCTATAATTAATGAAGTAGTAAAAGAACCTTTAATTCATTTGATATTCAAAGATTTACAAGATTAAAACTTGATTTATTGCTCATAACCTTAGAAAATGACATAAGTTCAATAATCAAATTATTTTAAGAAAATAAAGAAAGAACAAAAACACGTTCAAATAGGGCAATGTTAGTGGAATAAGGCTTCATGGTGGATATAACAACTTTTTCCTGATTAACACCAAAATGTCTCATTACACGTTAAAGTTCAATGCCCCAGGGTCAAACAAATTCTAGACCTTGCTCTTCGATACCCCACAGATCTCAATGATGTGTCTCGAACTTCAGACGGTGCTAACATCACGTCCATAGCTCTCAATCCTTTTCTAGGTAGGAATGGGGTGACTTCAATTTACCTCAAAAACTTCTATCACAAGATTCTCTGTGAGTTACTCCCAGGATCCGTGATTAATGCATGTTGAGATGCAATATATATTATGCAATGTATGATGTATAGATACGAATACAAAGATACACATATGAATACAAAAATATAGAAATGGGAATGCAAAATACGAGATGCAAATACAACAAAGGAATTGCTCCCAAAAGTAATTGTTCCTTGAATAATTCTTGAGAAACTGAAAATGTCTCGCTACACTAGGGAAGTGAAAATCTGGTCCATCTTTAAGTTGTCCAGCTCCTGCAAGCGTTTGGGTATTGAATCGTCTTTCATCATATTTAGGCATATTGAAAACCTTCAAAGCTTTTACTTCATCTCATACTTTCAGAAATTTATCAAGCTGGTTCGTTACCTTTAACTATTGGCTTCAGCGTCGAATCTTCTTGACCGACTTGTTATCTCAGCAAGTAGATGTCCGGCTTGTCTCCTTAGTAAGTAGACTATCTCTTGTCACTACTCGATCTACATAGAGAATCTTCAAAATTCTATCTAACACAATGAAAGGCATTGTTGCATGCATTATTTTTCAAGAACCTTCTAAATGACCAGTTATTTCAGGGATCAATACCTTTGAATGATATGTCATGTTCATGCAAAAATACAACAAAGCACAAGACAAGACAAAAGGAAATCAAGTTAGTAGAAACAAGACAAAAAGAATCAAGTTAGTTAAAATGATTATTCAAAGAAATGTAAGCTTAGTAAAAATAATTAAATACGACTCAAAGTTAAGACTAAAAAGTAAAGCATACAAAGGTAATTAAGAGTTCTAATCGCATGCATTCTAGTTCTCCTATATTATCCACATGGCTCTAGTGGGTTAGGTTTACTAAATTCTCTACATGAAGTCCGGTTCTAGCAAAGGGTTCCCAAGTTATCCTTACAACTTGCTAAGGCTTGCAAATCAGATTCAACTTAGTGGATCACACCACTAAAAGCATGTCTCAGAACTGATATCCGGACTTGTAACTTAGGATGCTTTCCAGAGGTAATTTGTCAGACCCACACGAGGAAGCCCAATGCTCCCCATGAGGTGTGGTATTTCCCCCTACTTAGGTAAATTGGGATTGAGCTCAGGTTTAGAGCTATGATATGTAACAGTCCTAAATATTCACAGAAGTGTAAGCATTAACTAGAGAGAAAATCTTTTTTTTAGATTACATAATGAGCTATAAATTAAATAAATTCAAAAGCAAAATTTATAAATTCCAAATGTAGGGTAATCAACTCGTGGCTCTACTCTTGATTTGTTTTAGAAAACAAAATGTCCCCAGCAGAGTCGTCAAGCTGTCGACGCTATTTTCGCCCAGGTGGGAAAAAACCAGTCCGAATTAGAGGTTTTTCTTTGAAAAGATTTTGAAATTGTGAAGAGATGTCACCAATCATTTTAAGGTGCGATTAGGACACCATAAAAACTTGTTAATTTTAATGAAACATTTTATTTTATCAAAATATCAAGTTTAGGGTCTATGAAAACTATAAAACAGGTTCGGGAGTCAGTTACGCGTGAGGAATGATTAACAGCCCCACATCGCCCAAAAATGGGTACCTAGTTGATTACCCTATATTTAAAATTAGAAATTCTAAGTTTAAACTTTATTTAATCAAAAATTCACAATAGGTGCACAGTTGAAAATGATGTTCGTTTATTTAAGCCAATAGTGTTCTCTCCCTAGCATGAATGCAGGAGATCAATTATTATGCCCAATAATCAAACATTGCCTTGGAATTTAGGAAACATGACAGTGTTTTTGAAAAGGATGTCGACCTACTTCGGGAATCACTAGTAATCACCCCTGAGCATACTTTCGTGGGATATATTATTGACTCCCTAATAAGTGAACATTGCCTTGGGTTTGAAAACATGATGCAATAAAATAATTTATTATTAAACCTAATTAAAATAAGGGTTGATTAAGGCTTTTTCTAACTTAAAGTGTCAATTATGTGATTTAAAGAACCTAAGGGACTAAACCTAGAAATGGAGGCTCTAATATTAATCCTATTTGATTTAAACCAGTTATTGGATCGAATAATCAAGATGATCCCTTGAGCGTGAAGGCGAGGGCCAACTCTGATTATTCTCTAAATTAAAAGGCTAGAGTGAAATCTAACCTAATGTGGAGGTTCTAATTAAAAACCTAATTAATTATGTTAAGAGTAAACCTAATTAAAAGTCTAAGGGCTAAAGTGAAAAAAATCTAGATCTAAAGGGCCAAACCCGAAGTCTAAGGTTCAAATTAATGATTAAATTAAGAGAAACCTAAATCTAAAGGGCCAAACCCTTTTTTCTTTTTTTTTCCTCAATTTTTCTTCTTCCCTATTTCTCCTCCCATAAAATGCTCTTCTCTCTCTCTTCACTTTCTAAAAGTCGACGACAGACATCGCCGTATCGACCGCCGTCTCTGGTGGTTAATCGGGCCTAAAACTTCAGGATTGGCTCTCATTGACACGGTGGTCATGGATTCGGGCTCGATTTTTATGAAAAATAGCCCCCAATGTCGTGAAATAGGCCAAGAACCTCTCGGCTTCCAACGCTTTGATCTTCGTCGTCCACCGTGGATCGTGCTGATCTCAGAGTGTGTTTCCCTCACCACTGGGCTTTATCTCACCGTTCGAATTTGCTAAAGGAGGTCTCGAATGCTTGCAAACAGTATCGATAAAACTATACTACACTACAATCACAATATATATATATAATTTGACTATGATTTAATTTTTTACTTACTATTTTTTTTGGTATAATCGGGTAATTAGTATCTTAACCTTTTCAGTTCAAATTAGCTATTTAGTATTAAATCAATTCGGATACCCATATTTAATCCAATAAAATAAAATAAAATAAAAGTTACTATTATACTAGACTTATCCTAAAACTTAGTTAATGTTTAAAAATTGTAAGGAACAATGTTCAAATGTTTGCATGGTGAACATAGAGCTTTATTAGATGACACGGATTACATAATGAGCAAAAGAATTGCATAAGGCTATTTGCTTTTCTTTTATTCTAGATGATCATGTGGTCTTATTGACATAAACATGGCAGCATATTGTAGCAATCGTCGGTCACTGCTGTTTCCGTTTTCGGCAACAGAAACCATCGGACCTCCAGTCCTCCTCCTGTAACGCCGCCAACCGAGTTGTATATTCACGGCTGCCCACGTTCGCCAGTTCGATGAATAGTATCTGGCTGTTCTCTTAAGCCTCTCGTTGGCAAACTTGTACCTGAAGTGATCCGTGATGTATTTGAGATGGTTTGCCTCGAGACCGAACGCTTCAATCGACTCTATGCATACGAATGTTGCAGACGAGGCAGGAAGACGATCCATAAATGGTCTGCGAAGACACCATGACAACAACTCATCACCCAGGAAGCCTCCCGGCTCGATAAAACTGGTGGCGACCATGCCTTTGCTGAGGCTTTGGTTACGTCTTATTCGTCCGTGAACAATAAACACCATTCTCTGCACTGGATCTCCTTCTCTGATTATCTGTTTCGTGTGAATAATTTATAAGTTTAACAAATTTTGAATGGCGTGTTTAACAAGGAAGGTTATAATTTAAACTTCATAAGCGAACCTTTTCGTCTTTAGAGAATACGAGTGGCTTAACTCGATCACAGATGTTATCGAGAATAAGGTCATCCAAGTTTTGGAACAAAGGAACCTGCAATGAATGAGATTCGAATCAAATCAATGTCGCCAAGACCTATCCGAGGGCCGAGTTACAAATGCAATATTAAAGTTTCAATTATGTTGGTACCTTCTTGATAAGGTCAAGGCAAAGGTAGCGCTTGATGTCTCTCCGGAGGCCTTCGGGTAAGTCTTTGATCAGTTCCATTTCGTCTTCTCCACCCGATATTGTCCATTTTTGACGTTCGAAGTGGCGGACTCGCTGTCTCAAACGCGACGGTAACTGCCGGCGTTTCATCCACCATTCCATGTCTCGACATCTTAGCTGCATTTTTCTCTTTTTGGCCATTACAGCATGCAAGAAAACCTTGATAAATATAAATGCAGGATCCAATTGTCAGTTAAACTGGCTATGGAAAGTTGCACAATGTTCAACAATCTGTAAAAAATAACTTAGTGCTCACTAGGGTGATAACAGTTTAATTTCGATTTGAAAAAAAAGGGATTGATATACAAAAATATCCGAATCCGAACAAATCAAAAGTTTCACCTGGATGTTTCCAATCAGTAAAGTGAAGAGCATCAATCCAGCAAGCACAATGAAGATACTGAACATCACTTCTAACCAGTGACTTGTTGGTTCAAGATCATTCCCAAAGGTGCTGCAAATGGAAGCTCAATGTGAGTATATGATATAATATGCGTCTAAAACAATAGAAACGAAGATAATAATTTCGTGTTCGACCCGAGATTGAATTATAACTTGAATTGTGATTTACCTGAGAGTCATTAATCCCCAAAATATGGGATAAAGGATCTTAACAGAGGCAGAGTTGCTAGAAACAACGGGGAGAGCCAACTGATAAATCCCATAATTGAATGGTCCATGAACGTCTAAACATAAAGGTTTCCCTACAACTTTGGTCGAGTTACCACCGCAAGAATTTCCTACCGTTTCAGCCGGAAATAAAAACTGGTAGCACACCTCCTCCGAGCACGACAACGAAAGGTTGCAGTGAGCGTTTCTCGCGCATTGTTGCCTGAGACACGAGGCAACCCGCTGTATCGCAAGGACATACCAGCACCCTCCAGCAACCTGGACAAAGAAAAAGGAATAATAAGAGCAAAACGTTTGTTGGAACGACCGAATTCTTAGGCACGCATAAGACGATGCGAGAGGTCGGTCGTTAAAACGTGTTGTGCGACAGCTCATGGGTAAGACTTACATGAGAAGCAATGAAGTAGGCAATGAGGTTAAGGCCAAAGCCCCACCAAATGGTGCCAAAGATGTAACCAGTGACCTTTTGCATCCTTCTCATTAAGCAAATGCTGTGGTAAACCTTTGGGAGGAATTGGAACAAGAAAATTAACAACATTATGGTCATTATAAGCTTGATCTTCTCTTCCCTTATTAGTTTTGGCACAACTAACCAAAATACAGCCTGCAAAAAGAAATTACACACTGATAAAATTATTCATTTTGACCCGAAAATATCAACAAAAAAATTAAGAAAAAAAAACATGTCACTTGGTGTCACGTAGCATCAAATAATCATGCTACTAAAGTTGTACAAGCATTGGAATCATTCACAAAAATGATGTTTACGATGTTAGAATTAGATTTTTAAATTAAAGGCAAAGACGGTTTTTATGTAAAAACAAGAGACACGCAAACAGGAAGACAAAACATCCAACAACAATATTTGTAATGATGCAAGATGAACAACACATCCGGTTTCTATGAAGCAACCCAAATAATTGTCAACAATCTCATTGTCCAACAGGGAAAAGAAAGGCCTACTAGCTTTGTGTTCATTATGGAAACTCCATACGAGAGAGAGAGAGAGAGAGAGAGAGAGAGAGAGAGAGGGGGGGGGGGATGTGAAAAGTAAGATTCAAAAAGGACTAAAACACGTTATCTATTTGTGGGGTTTGTGGCACCCACTTTGTATTCTTCATATTTTGGACATTAGTCTATATATGTTAAAATCCAAACCATAACATTATTGAATATTACTTTTCTATTAAAATAATTAAGTTAGGATTGTTATCCAATGCATCAGGAAAAAATATACTTTTTTAGCGGTTTTATATACTGTCATGTGTATGTATTATTTAAGATTACTAAAGTTATATGTTTTAAGGATTTTTAATAGTATATGTTTAAAATTTTAGACACGTTTTGTATACGTAACTATTCGGATCTAGAACTTTTAGAAAGAATAGTACTCACTTTAATCATTGGGATAACTCGATGAGTTCAAAATATGTTATAAAATTTAAAGATTAAAACTTTAGAATTACTTAAATAAGACGTATAATATCATTAAAACTCTGTTTATAAATTATTTTTACCACTATTAACACAATAAATTAAATAATAACCATTAAGTCATATTAATTATAATTGTTTCTTCTAAAAGTATTAATTTAATTACACAAAATATGACTTAAACCTAGGATGAACTATGATTATTTGGCACGTTATGGTGGGGAGAGAGTTGTAATTTTGCCTAACTCAATCAAAGGTGCAAAAATCCAAAATTTGGACCATCTTTTGCATGATCATATTGCACATGTGTTTGACAGTTATGTTTCTTTCCTGCCCACCAAAAAAAAAATATAGAGTTGGGTAAATATACATTTTAGTACATAAAGTTTTTTTTGTCCAATATACATTTTAATTCAAATGATACCGAAAAACTACATACTTTAAATTATTTCAAATAAGATATTAGTTATTTATCCTAAGTATCAATTTGTATTAAGAAATTAAATTCAAATAATTAATTGAATTAAAAAAATTAAGTACTAAATTGAATCTAAAAATAAAGTTCAAGTTTTAATTAAAGGGTAAACTATGTATTTAGTTACCCTATCACTTTGATTATGTTTTGGTCACTCAACTTATACTTTTTCCAAAATAATATCTAAAGTTTCATTTTGGTCAACCGCAGTTAAAAAATTAATGATGATATTGATGTGTCACTATAAGGTAATGTCACGTTATAATTGAAAAAATTATCACGCCAATATTTATGTTTACTTTTTAATAGCGGGTGATCAAAATGGAACCAAAACGTAACATTAGGTAGGGTTTTGGAAAAAATAGTTGAATGACCAGAACGACACTAAAGTGATGGTTGGGTGACTAAATACGTAATTTACCCTTAATAAAACTAAACAAAACTTTACCATCAAATTAAACCTTGAAATCGAATCAAGTAAAAATATAAAAAAAAAACCTATTTATATTTGAATTTTTGTAAATGAAATAAAATTATAAAACATTTGAAATCAAGTTGTTAAGAATGTGCGCCCTAAATTCAAATTTACCTGTCTGTATATAGAAAAATAAATATAAGAAATTAAAACCAGTGTTATTAAAACCGGTTGAACCGATTGAACTGTGAACCGATGGCCTGTCTGGTCCAGCACAGAATCGGTAGAACCGGCTGAGAACCGGCAAAACCGATGTGAACCGTCGGTTTACTTTTTTTCTTTAAAAAAAATTAAACCAAACGACATCATTTGTTAAACGAGCCGAGTCGAACTCGAGTACTCTGAGCTCGACTCGAACTCGAAAACTTTAAAAGTAAGCTCAACTCAACTCAAAAACTCACGAGCTAAAAATTATCAAGTTCAACTCGAACTCGAAATATAATATTGAAACTTGAACTCGAGCTCGAACTCAAAAAAATTTTAGAAACTCGATTAAAGCCTGAAATTCGCTATGTGCTCACCAAAAGGCTCCATGATTTTGAATGTCAAATTACCTCTAGTATTTATAGAAGTAAGTTGGGATGTTCTTCTATGTTTCTTAAGCATGTGAGATTGTTTTGTTCTCATATTTTCTCTTTAGACTTTTGGGATGCTATTCTATATTTCTTATCCATATGAGATTGTTTTTTAAAAAAACTTAAACCAAACGACATCGTTTGTTATGATTTTTTTCAGCCCCAAATTTATTTTATTTTATTTTTATTATAGTTATATAATTATATTTATTATTTAATATGTTTTATCTAAATATTATGTTGTAGTTGATTTGAATCATTTTGTTTCACTTGATTTTATGTTTTTTAACTTATATATGTTATGACTTGTGATATTTTTATATTTTTTAATATTGTAAACTTAAAAAAAGTGTTATATATATTTTAATATTATTTTGAATATTATATAAAATTTTAAAAAAAATATTATTTTATATAAAATCAGATTGAACCAAGTTGAACCAGTACCTTCACTTGTTCGAGGTCCGATCTGGTTTTAAAAACATTGATTAAAACAAAAAGGGTACTAGAAAGGTGACCTGAGGAACTGGCAGGATGACGAAGGCATCAAACCAGAAACCTTTGAGGGAACGAAGGTAATGAGAGGAGATGGCACGTGCGTCCCACACGAGTTTACCGCAACCCACGACGAGCGACTCCCTCGACACGTACGCCAGCCTGAACTGAAGCCATAGATGGAACAAATGCACCGCGTCCACGAACGTGCGAAGTACGGTTACTATGGCGGCCAATCCGCCATCCATGTACAGACACGGCGAGCCGCCTCTGCCTATCGACAAAGCATAAAAGAACAAAGGATCAACAGCTAAGGCCATTCCACGAGCCAACAGAAAAAACCGGTTCCAGTTTTGCACCCGCTTCGTTCTCGGATCAAGAACCCGTCCAAACGGGCCGTAACGTCGCCGGGTATTGGCCGCGGCGGCGGCTTGTTGAGCCTTCTTCTGACCCGCCCTAGTACGAGCCTGAATGGGAACGAGTGAGGAGCCGGCGGAGGCTTCCCATTCGGGAGGGTGAGCTTGGTCGCAGCTGGTGGAGTGGAAAACTGGAACACCGACTTGAGTGCAAGCGTAGCATTCTATAGTGTAGGAAATTGGGTTTTCTTCGTTGATGTCACCGCCGCCGCCGCCGTTAGAATTCTCTGGGATTGTGTTCCGTTGCTGACAAAGTCCAAACCACCTGCTACAACAATATTTAAAAAAACGGAGTTATAATAGAATGAAACCATTTTTTATTCATTGGTTTGAAAGGAAATATAATAGAAGAGGGTGCAACCTTGAGAGGGAGAAGTTGGACGGAGAAGGCATGGTGAGAGAAGTGGAACCATGGGAGAGAAAAGGAATTGGAGAAGGAAAATTATCGATCAAAGAAAGAAAGTGCGGGCTTGTTTAAGACTGGGGAAACGATGGAATTATATGTTTTGGAGGTATTAATGAGAGAATTAATCATCAACCCCTACTATAAAATAAAGGTTAAACTACGTCAATAGTCAATCAATTATGAGTAAATTTCTGTTCCCAGCATTTAAGTTTGAAAAATAATGAAATGGTCACCAACGTTATTGTTTTTGTAGCCTACCATTAACAATATATGTGGGAGTCAAAAT